GACGGGGGTTGTGCCTACGATCAGCATTCATTATAGGGTATATACATACAAAATTTCAGCTGTCTAGCTCTTATTATGAGTGAAGTTCAGGGGGGTTCGGGACTTTTGGCCAGCACTGTAAATAAATAAATGGATATTTATTACGTTTTAATTTAATACTAAATGTTGATGATGAGATATCATCGGTTCCACCTGTTTGTACTTGATCTGCTTCATCAGATAAATCACGATTAAGTGAAGTCTTTAAAAGAAAAATTTTTAAAAAGAAAATTTTTCTTTTTGATTAAATTTACTTTATTTTCATTAGTAGAGATTGCATCTTGTTGAACAATATATTTGCTCCTTTTGTTTTTGCTTTCGTTTTTGTATTTAATTCTTTGTTAGAGAGCACTCTAACAATCTATATTTTGTATATATGTGATGTATGTACATTGTGTCTTTTGTCCTTTGCTTTTTCTCTCCTCCCTTTCCCTATTTTTATTTTCTGTTATATATATATATATCGTCTTCTACATCTAGGACTTATATTCATCCGGCCGTGAGAGTTATCGAAATTCTCACATTCTATTTATTATTATTGTTTTTCTTTCTTATTGTTTTTGTATTTACTAAAGAAGATGATGCAATCATATTTTTCTTTGTTTACATGTATCCAGTCAACTCTCTCTCCCCCCATTTATACATATTTTTCTTTCTCTCTCTGTGCTACTCGGGCGTGTGTTTATGTATATGTTGTGATCGAAATTAAAATTTAGACCACAACCATGTTTTAAGTTTTTTTCTGGATCAAGTAATGCTGAAAAAGCCACCACACGAAATATTTCACGATGATTTTTTTTAATACATGTTAAAAAAGCTCGACATTCACCATATAAAGCAACATTTTCTGAACTCATTAAATATTTTTTCATCATTATAAGAGGTGTTACAAATGGTTTAAACATTATATTTAATATAAAACCATCAATAGTTTTTGATCCAACACCAAGATATGTATTACTAAAATTATTTGAATATGTTTGTCGTAATTGTGTATCACTTTTGTTGGAACTATTTTAAACAAAAAGTATTATTTTCAAAAGAAAAAATTTAAATATTACTATAAGGTGAATAATGTGCACGATCAATATGTTGATTTAGAACAATAATCACATAATGCATGAAATATATCAAGAATATGAACAAGATCACCATGATGAGTTAAATTAAGAAAATATCTAAATAAAAGTTTTTTAATGAGAAAAATAAATGAAATAATATTTACTTTTCAAATCGTTGTTGATTAAGTAAACGGAGTTTATTTAATAGTAAATGAACTTTACCACGTAATTGATCAGCTATAAAACTTCGTCCACGTAGTTGACAATGTGAACAGCCTAATCTTTTAATTATTCCAAATAAAAAAGAAACATTTTCGATTAAATTTTAAATAAAAAGTCTAATATAAACCTAAGTGTTATATCAACAGCTAATTGAAATTTTTCTTCTTTTGCATCAATTTGTTTTAATCGTTCTTCGATTTGTTCATCGTCGCTTGTTGTACCAGTATTACTAATAGTTAATAATTGTTTTTTTATGTATACCATCTTCTGTTGATGATATAACAGCCAAACCAAGTAATACATCAAGCATATTCATAACTAATTCACAAACTTTTAAATGATGTTCTTTACAAATAACAGCATGTATACCAGCTAAAACAACACCAAAATTAATTATATCATTACGATTAATATATGCACTTGAACCTTGTGCTTCTTCAATTTCTTCTAAAAATTTATAATTTATTTCTGAATCAGTAACACTATGTTTTCATTGCAGTTAAATTCGTTGTTTGTGAAATTGGTTTTGGTGGAGTTAATATACTATCAACGGATTGTCGAGCTGTATTACTAGTTGGTGGTGGTTATTGTGAACGATCAGATTGACTTAGTGTTGTTGTTTTAAGTAATAATAAAGCGAGATCCGTTAAATGAATTCGACTACTTTTTGAACGATTATTTGTAGCTAAATCCAAATGTTCAATACTTCTTCATCAATATAACGAATTTTACTAAATAAATAAAAATATCTAAACACTAATAAAAAAAGAGGATATTTTCTATTTCTCATAGATTTGCGATTCTTTTCTTAAAAAATCTTATTACAAATAATGAGAAAACTGTTTGATTTCTATGTATTACGCTTTAACCAATAATTGTTTTTCTCTTTTTATTTTTATTAAAAAAAGGTGATATTAAAAAAAAGAATTAATTAGTTAATTAATATATAATACCTGATTTTCTTATAAAAATGATCATATTTTTGGCTATGTTTATCAGTATATGAACTTTTTTCAGCAAAATATTTAAACGGTACATTTAATAAATGAGCTGGTTGTTTAATTGATGTTGATGCTGATATATCACCAATACCAACCATCATACATTGTTGTTCAATAATATCATTTGTAACTTGTTCATTAAAATAAATATTTTTTAAATATTTATAATAATCTTGTTCATTACCAAGATTTATTTGTGATATACAAAAGACTTTTAAACTGAAGAATATTTATTGATAATGTACCATTCATTAAAGTATCAGATAATATTTCATCTGATATATCAATAATACGTTTATGTAAATATTCAAAACATCATAAATAACTATCTGTTAATTATGATGGATTAAATAATGTACATAAAATTCCAATATCAAAATATGTCGCATGTAGAAGTAATTCAGATGAACGTGTATATATACAAGGTTTTGTTGTTCATACACTATGATGACGTGTTGTTGATGCTAAATCTTTTTGTTTTCGTCGATTTTAATGAAACTGATGGAAGATCAAAGATTGGTGGAGGTGTCTTTGGTATAGATGTGGCTTTTGTAGTTGTACAATTTGAGCAAATATATGGAATATTTGTCGGATGATTTTATGCAAATATAGGTTGTTGACATTGTGAACAATATAATGGTAAAAGAACAGATGGTATTGATGTTGAGGATGATGATGATGATGAACCAGGACCATCTGGTAAAACATTAAATTTATCATCAGCTAGAAGATATAGAAAATGATGATTAAAGAAGCTTTTTCTTTTGTTTTTTTACCTGGACTTTCTGGTGATGTTGTTAAACGATTTGAATAAGAAAATGAACAAATTGACTTATATGTCCAAGTAGTGGTCATGTTTTTGTACGATCTGATATTTCATAAGCATTAAGATCAGTTATAGAATTATTTGTTGTTGTATCAGAATTAGTTTGAATATATAATGTCGATTTGTGATCTTTTGTTGTTGTTATTCGTTGAAATAAACTTGTACTACTTCCTTCGCTAACAATAATAAGTGCCATCATAAATGGTTGATTTGTTAAATCAGATAATAGTTGTTCTTCTGATACTGATTGTGATAATTATGTCGTAAATTCATTTTGTTATTGTTGGTTGAGATAATAGTGGCGTTGGTGGTGGTGAAGATTAAGATTGTAAATCTTTTTCAACCTCTTCAATAGCTGCTCTTGATATTGATATGAATGTTGGTGATTCGACCAAAACCGATAAACGATTACGTTTACTATTATTTATATAAAATGTTTGTTGTTGTTGCTGTTGTGATGAATCATGTATAGTTAATATATATATTCTCCATTTTCATTTGGTGATGCATATGATGGTATAATTGGTTTAACAAATGAACTAAATATACATATATTTGGTTGACGATATTCAAGTAATGGATGCCATATAAGATGCATGCCTTGAGCAAGATCAGTATTTGATAAAAATTCTTTTTCATTTATTTGTAAGTATGTATGAATATATGAAATAAATAATTGTATTGTATTTAATGGTTAAAGTTGATTATTATTTATATATGTAGAATTATAAGAATTATTTTGACTAGAACCATCTAGGATAAGATAATGTAATGTTTGTTGAATTGAATGAAGACTATGTTCAATTACCGCTGATCATGCATGCATTCCATATGGAAATGCTTGAAAATAGTTTTGTCTTTGTATATCTTCTCATAAGAAGAAATTAACTAACAACTTTAATAAAAGGATGAATTTATTCATCCAAAATAATTTCTTTCTTTTCTTATCTTTTTAATATTTATGTTATTTTCCATTCGTCGAAAATGAATAGACTTAACATGCGAATGATATAGTAAAGAGAAAAGAAACAAAATTTATCCATCGACATGCCAATCATTTTCTTTCTCCTCCTCCACATCGTCATCATCATCACCTTCTTCTTCTTCAAATAATAATAACTTTAAATCAGGAATATCTTTTTCACTTGCTGAAACATTCCTATAGTTATATCAACTCTTTTTCAATACTTAATAAAACACATAGTGGTCATGTATCATTTGTTCTTTTTTAAACTTTATTAGATATCATCATTTTCTTTTGATGATTCATCATCAACATTAAATATTTAACATGTACTTGAAATATAATCACAATTAAAATAATTATTTAATAATAATAAAATTGGATTTATGTTTAAATATTATTGAAAAAAATCTTTGTTATCAATAAAATATTTATCATCAATAATAACAACATGTAAATCATAATTATCAACATCATCAATTGTAATTCTATAAGGAACATGTCTATCACTATTTATATTATTTTCATTAAATTATCCAACTAGTCTAGTAATTGTTACTTTTACATCAAAACAAAAGTTGAAGAACAACAATAAATTCTTATTGTTTGTAGCATAGATGAAACCAGTCTAGTTTTTCGACGACCGGTACCGGTACGAGTCTGAACCGGCCAGACCGGACCAGACCGGCCGGTCTACCGGTTTGATAGGTCTACCGGTAAAAGACCGGTTTACCGGTAAAATACCGGTCTACTAGTAAAATATCGGTCTACCGAAAATGTATCAGTTGTCAAAATCAAATAGTGCCTGAAAAGCACTTAATTGTTCCATCAAAAACAGCTCTGCATTAGTGTTTATGATGAAAATGGGAAAATGAAAAAGTAAGACCGGTATCATACCGGTAATAGACCGGTTTCAGACCAGTAATAGACCGGTTTCAGACCGGTATCTTACCAGTATACCAGCAGACCGGTTTCAAACCGGTATACCGGCCGGTCTAAAGTCCGGACCGGTACCGGTTCCATCTATGGTTTGTAGAAATTATTATGGTACAGAACCAAATTATTATCATTCACATTATAATACATCAATTCCTGTACGTCATAGAAAAAAAATTTTTATACAAAAACGAATTAAACAAAATGGAAATATTTATCGTAAAAATCCACCAATATCAACAAGAAGAAATACAATTCATAATAATGAAATTGATTTTTCTATGTTAAGAATTTCAATTATTTATTTATTTTAATTTTTATATCTGTAATATTTAGATTTGAACAATGAAAATATTTGAAATAGAACGTGATCTTCTTCTTCAAACATGTGATACAATTGATCGTATTAAATTTTATTTATCTGATCGTCTTCTTGAAATGAAAGATTCTTATTGTATTTATTTATCAACAGGTGAAGTTTTATTTTATAAAATAAAAATGATTTATTTTATATTTATTTTTTTCGACAACTGGTATGGTACCAGAATCAATTTATAATCGAGATTTAGTTGCTAATTTACTTAAATTAGCAAATACAGTTCTTGCTGAAGTAAATTATTATTCAAAAGTAATAAAAAGAACTTATATTGTTTCTTTTTTTTGTTCGTAATTAAGAATAAATTTTTCTTTTAGTAAATCATCAGATCGTTTATCTAGTTCACTTTCATCATCATCATCTAATGGAACAAATAATCAATATCAACAACAATTAAAAGCAAAATATGATCGTATTAAACAATTAGAAAAAGAAAAACGTGTTCTATTAAAAGAATTAGTTGAGATGAGACATCAACATAGAACAGTTATTTCAGCTAAAAATTTATAGAACTTCTTTCTCTTTTTTAATGCATATTTATTATAGGTGAATAAATTCACCTTTTGTGTTTATTTTTCGATTATTGTTGTGACAATCTTTATTTAATGTGTGTGTGAAAATCAAAATTCTTTTTTCTTGTTTTGTTTGAAAAACATTTTCATTAAAAAAAATATAAAAAATAATTGTTAAATATTATCATTATTTTTAATCCATTGTCGAATTGAAATTGGTAACATTGACCAAGGTCCTGGACGTACTTTTTCAGTTATACGAAGAAGAGTTTTATGTTGCCAACTAAATGAAGCTCTATCAGTTGTTTCCATAAATGGATTTAATTCAATTACCCAAGCTTTCATTGAATTGATACTTTCTTCATCTAAGAATCATTAGGAAAATATAAAAGTAAATTTTAGTTTTACATATAAACTTACCACCTTTAGTCATGCAATGCAAAATCACTAACATAATTATTTGATTTATATTTATTTAATTTAGTTTTAACTATTTGATTAAAAAAAATGTGATCTTTTCAAGAATTGTGTCTTTCTCTTGACATAAACATTGAGAATAAATTAAATAATTATATTGTGATAAACATGTTAAAAGTTGTTGAAAAACAAAACCACGAAATTCCATTTCAACATCAATTGGAATAAATAGTATCTTTGATGCGTGGAATCATTCTTTTTTTTTTCAAACTAAATAGAACTTTGTTTTTTGTTAAAAATAAAATTGAATTTACATTTTTTTGCTTAAAATCGATCTATTAAAATTTAAAAAACAAGAATACTATGAGAGAACTTGTGAAAATTACTGATGAATAGTTTTTGTAAAAAATTCTCTTTGCTTAAGTATTTAGAAACTTACTGTTTTTTTTTGGCTTTATATATAAATCAATAACCTAATGGGGCTGCATTAAATGATCAAGCGCCATGTCTTTCAAACTCTTTTTTTGTTCTTCGAGAACTGCAAACATGACTGACCATGAGTAAATCCATCTAACTTAAAAAGATAATTTTCAAGCAGAATTTTATTTAATTTTGAGAAAAATATTCAAACAGATAAGTGATTAAATAAATCTTTAATGATTATGAAATACTAAACGTTTATTTTCTTCCAATTCCTTCATTATATGCAGCAAACAAAACTAATCTTGTATGTTTCCTTCTAAAACATGTGTAAGATTAGCGACTGTTAGTAATCAAACAACAAGTGTTATTTAAATTATCTGAACTAGAAATAAAAAAGATTTAGAGACATCTTTTCATTCAAATTATATTTAATCCGAAGGTCAAAAATCTTTCTTTTTCATTATTCGTCAATTCTGAAGTTATAAAATAATATATATATAGAACCAAAGGAATATAACCAATGAATGAAGGAAAAACAACAATATGAAGAATTACAAAGAAAGTGAAGTTAATTATTTAAATGCAAAAAGGAAAATCAATAAAGATGAAAACAATTTCTATTTCATTCTCAGTCTCATTTCTCTTTAGATATGTCTTATTCACTTCAAGATTTATTTAACATCTATGGCAATCAATCATATCATAGTGACGAAAAAAGTTATCATCCTGTTCCATTTATGCATGTTAAAAAAAAGTTTCTAGTTCTTGATGGACAGGGTGAAATAATTATTATATCTTTGAAATAACTTACTTTTTTTCTTCACAGGATGAACAATTATTTCATTATCAAAACAAAAATGGTAAACCATTTTCAATCAAATATAAGAATGAAAACTATATAATTAATACAGAACATTTCTTTCTCGGGAATCAGTACACGATCAAATACTTTGTAAGTTTACTTTTTATCAATGTAGTAACCGTCAAGATATTTTTTTAGCGTTCTGATAATCAAACATATAAATCGACATTCAGACTAAACGATCATTTATTAAATGGGTAATCGACTTCATGTGTTTTTAAATTTATGTTATCAGATTCTTTTTTTAG